TAATTGAATTGCAATAGTCAGCAACAACAAAATGATCCACCCAGATTAATATAATCGTAATGCTTAGCTATTGTATAACTTTATCATCTTTGAATCTCAAGTGCTTAAAAAAGATTACCGTATGTCTATTTTACAGATGGGCAAAGAAGGCAAAGGGAAGGAAGTTATTTGCTCAAGCAGCAGACTAGTGACAGACCCACATCTGCCAAATCCCAATCTAGTGCTCTCTCCTCTAGGCTATGCTGTAACAGGAGAAGTGCTCCAAATATAACCCTTAGGCTACGTCTAGACTACATGGCTCCATCGACAGAGACACATAAAATAGTTTATTCGGCACAGTCAAAGAAGCAGGGATTTAAATAATTTCCGCTCATTAAAATAAAAATGGCCGCCGCACTGTGCCAATGATCAGCTGATCCGACACAGCGCGGCAGTCTAGACACGGCGCGGTCGACAAGGGAAGTCTTTGTTGACTGCTCCGGTATGCCTTGTGAAAAATTCTTTTGAGAAAAAGAAAAAAAAGCTGCAGGAAGAGTTGTTGAGCGAAAAAAAAAAAAAAAAAAAAAGGAGGGGTGGAGGCAGGGCCAAAATGCAGTCTCAGTCCCTTTAATTCCTGGGCAACTCCCCCTCTCTCCCTCCGCCCCGGCCAGTGCAAGCTGCGTCGCATGTCCCAATTGGCCTTCCATCAGGCGCCCAAGCCAGGCCTTGGAAAAACAAAAAAACAAAACAAAAAAAACAGAAAATGTCCGGTATTTTCTGAATTTTTTTACTGGACGGAAGGAACAAATACCGGGCACTCAGGTTTAATATCGGACACCTGACAACCCTATACTTTAAAGCTTCTTGTTGAAGAGTGTTATGTGTGTAGTAGGGGTCACAGGAAAACAAAATAAACTCTGCTCCTTTTTCCATCTTCTTCTCTTGAAGCAGCAAACCCTGAGACTGGGAAACTTTGCATATTCCCCCCCATTTTTTTAAATTCAGAAGAGGTCAACTCAGAAAGGAGAAGTCACTAACTACTCTGCATAGAAAGCCCTCTTTCTCATCATACTCCAGCCTGTATAAGTTAAACAAAAATTAGAGTTTCCAATTAAATTGGGGAACTTTTCCCCTGTAGGCAAGATTTGTAAGTTAAACAAAAATTAGAGTTTCCACATAGGGATTTACGTTAAATTGGGGAACTTTTCCCCTGTAGGCAAGATTTTGATTTAGGGAACAAATACCATGAAGATTGCAAGATACAATATAACTGCCTTAATATCTGCAGTCCTACCAGTCTAGGTACTGTTGGTAGGCTAAAATGATTAGTTCTGTATCTGTGCAATTGATTGTTTTTCAAGTTGTCCCATATACTGTCTTTGGGTATTGATTTTTTCACAGGAGTGATTTTAATACTGTCACATACAAAAATGTTGTTTGAATATTAACCTTCAAAATGGGCTCTTTAAAGTTTCAAAAAAACTCAAAAGATAAAACTGAGCAATTCTTATTTTTAACCGTATATAACTTTGTAGATATGAACTGGAACAAGATGTTGATTTCTCTCCTGAGGAATAATCTATTCCGTGTGCACAAAGATTCCTTACTACTTAGAAGCTATGATATTACATCAATAAACAGTCCATTCAAAAAACTTCCCTTAAAAATGTTACTCGCAAAAAGGATTAGAATGACAAATAAGTTATATTTGATCAAAGTTCTTAATAAAAGAGGTAAACATCCATTTGGAGCTCTCTCAGCTGAAAACTATTTCTCTCTATAAATAGAGATCTGTGAAGGCAAACATTTCCAAGACCCATGATACATGGTAAATGCTAACAAAATTAAAGTCATTACAGCTAAAGAAAGAAGGAAAGGACTTAACTATATTAAAATTTTAACCCATTCACATACAAGATGGTAATTTTAATAAAGATTTTTTAAAAATTAGGTTTGTCACACTTATCCACTGTAAATTGCTCTGTCCAGTTTATTTCCTTCATTGTTGACAAATGCCATAGTTACATATTTTTAAATTATGTTTATCATCAACATTAGTAATATTCATTTGTACTCATGTAGTACCCTTTATCCACAGATATTTAAGAGGAATTGCAAAACATTTGTACTACCTTTTAAAAATGTATAAAAGGAAACTCATGGTTTCCCTGCTGTTTTCAAAGCCTGGAAATAGCAAAGTTGAATGGCCACATTATACAAGGCTGTACCTTGATCTGCCAGGTCTCAATCTAGACTGAGGGAAGAAGCCATGCTAATTTAAAAAATACTGCTTCAATGTCCACTTTTTTCATAAGCAGACATTTGGCTGATACTTGTGAATTTATTTAAAACTACAACAACAAAACCTAACTTGTGTAGTTGCAGAACTTGAATTAGTATACCAATTAGAAACACACAAAGGATTTTAAAATATATATCATAAAAAATATACCCATTTACAGAGGGACAAACTGAGGCACAGACTAATAAGTGCCCCATTCTGAACATATAAGAGCCCCCACCTCCTAGGCCTATGTTTAACCATACTGTCTCACTCCATCTGAATTTTAACAGTATGACCTAAATAGCATTTTATATTTTTATATATATGTAAAAATAGAATCCTCAATAGGATTATAAAGTCAAATAGCCACATAGCACACTAATTTTATTCTAAACTATCATTATCTATTAATTCTTCATTTTCCTCTATTTTTTGTGTTCATTTGCATTGTGAACTGGATATGTAGTAAATTATTAATCTACAGAGTCAATAAAACTTCTTGATATATTATTAAACATTTCCATTTTATTTTGTACTTCACATAAGATCCTTGCTACCCACACTGTGTCTTCGTGAGGTCATCCATTCACCCTCAGCTGAAGGCAAAGTGTCTGGCTAGTGCCAAAGTATAATTTGATTCACCATGACAAATGCAATTTCTAACAAAGATTTGTGACTTCAATTTATATAGTGTATTTGTAACAGCACTCAATACGTGTACGGTTGAAGCAGGTTTTCATATCTATATTCCAAGACATCCTTAATTTTATTTGTAACGCCACCACACATCCTAATTATTAACAACTTTGTAAACCCACATATATAGCTCAAATCTTAGTTAGTGAGCATATACCCTCAAAAGAACCCCACAGCTCTATGATACAGAGAGAATTTTAGATATGCCAATACATGAGCAGGTGGAACAGTCTAAACCAAATTAAATTCAATTTTGAATCTGACTACTTTATAATTCTTTTCCATAGAATTTTTGCTGATGAATTTCCACATATGCTGCTCTACATCCTTCTCCTAAAGTATGTTTTAAATATAATGACTTTGCCATTAGTATTGAACAGAAAATTGTACAAGATAGATGCCTTGTGTGTTTATACTTCTTTCGTGTTCAACTAAATGAATCTCAAGTACAATTTCAGAATTTGCACCCTTTTATTTTTTTCCCCCCCACGATTAGGTTTTAAGCAACTGACAGGAACATTGGTGGGGAGGAATCATTTTTATATTAGGTGTGTAATGATGCTACAGTTTGAGCAGACTACTGCACATGATATTTTATATGTGGTCATCAGTCTCAAAATTAAAAAAAAAAAAAAGTTAAATTGTTACCAGTCTATTTTGACTATTTTAGTGCCTTTTTTGAAAAATGACACAAGGGACCAAATCATGGTCCATTACAGAAGGGTAAAATTTGACTTAAGGTATACATTTACATAACACGGCATGATCATCATAGTTCAGTGCTCTTTGGTTTAGAATTAAGGATGTTAAATATTGGTTAATTTAACAGTTGATTAACCTCATGAATTCTTATAGGTTAGTCGACTATTCTATAGTCCCCGGGGGCAGGACTGGCAGCCAGTGCGCTCTGGCCTCACTTTTGTGGAGCTGCCTCAATCTCGTGGGGTGCCAGGTGAGAACTGGTCCATGACGGGAGCCAGTTTAAAAACCGGCTCCCCTCACAGACCTGCTGCCTGTTACCCTGTGCTGCTGCTTCTGATAAAGAGGCAGCAGGGGGGGGCTGAAGTAGCCCCTGTATAGGTAGGGTCTGAGCTCCTGGACCCGGTGCAAGCCAGAACTGAACCGGGCTGCTGGCCAGCCTGCTAAAAAAATGTAGTGGGGGGGGTGGAAAGGGAAGGGGAAGAGTGTGTAGTCTATAGCATTAACCAATAAGCTTTTGCTTATCAGTTAATCAACTACATTATTACATACCTATTTAGAATATCACCTGGTTCAATACTCACCAGGTTTCACAGTCTGTTACCATCTAGTTTATGAGTTCAGTCATTTTGGCTTTAGCAATGACACCCAGGTGGTATTCTGCTACAGAAAGGAATGTATCTATGCCTTACCTAGCCACCTAGACACAAGTGATATCAGTGGTAGCTCAACCAATCACCATCCTTATTCTGTAGCTAATTTGCATGTTACAACTGCTTTAGTTATGAAAGAGCACAGATGTGGGATTACTAGGCCCACTGTCATACCAGTGCAATAGAAAGAGCTCTCAGTTACTAGTTGTATAATAATTGTAAAACCCCACCTTATTCAAAGACAGACAAGTGACTTAAATAGAATTACTAAGATAAATTTGACAAGCTATTTTTTCAGGAGTTCAATTGAAAAAAAAAAAGATACTGATTCGCAGTCACATTATTTAATTGTCATGCCCTCATCTGACACTTTTTGGTTCCTACTAAAATGGAAGCAGAAATGCTCACATATGATGAAAAGCTATTTGTGTTGCATTTCCAGCTTGATCAATTGCAGGAAAACATCCAAAATGTAATAGAAGAGCTAGTAGGCTCAGATAAGAATCTGAATGTCTGGAATCTTATCAGAACAGAATCTCTCAATATGTGCAGGTTCAACCATCTTCAATTTACAATCTAAACAAAATTGCTCTTATTTAGCAGTCACCAAGTCCCAGATCTCACCTGAGACATCTTACTGCATTAAAAAACACCCCACACCTGCCCACCTGGCATTTTCAGAGACTTACCTAAAACGCCATACTCCGAAAGAGAGCTATTGCACACAGTGTAGGGGGCTTGCTGCTCCCAGAGGTGATTCATGGGAACACATGTCCTCTTGTCAACTTCTTGATCATGTAGCACATGGTGGCGATGGCTACCAAGAGATGTACACACAAATGGATTATTTGGTTACTTGCTTTTATACATTGCCAAAGATTAAGTTATCTTAAACCTTAGAAACTATGTCCTGGCATCTGTGATCTGAATCACATAGATGCATACAATCTCTATCACCACAGAAGAATAGGATATTCACATGACAATGAATGTGTTGGTTTTGTTACACAAAGGAGTTGTGAAAATGAATCAGCATCACTGCAGTTTGTGCTAAAAATATTTGTACACATAATAAAAATGTAGATCTTTTGTTGTTACTACTCAGTTTTTAAAATAACATACCTTCTCTATCGGATAGAATACCGTAGCTTTGTTACTGGGTAATAGGCACAGAAGTCAGACTGGCATATTTCTGCACTTCATGCAACGCGGAATATAGAGACCACTGCACAAATGGTAGCCACTTCACAGGTTACAATGAGCTGTGAAATTCTATTAGTTCTCCTCATAGGATGACTGTGGTTTGTTTTTACAGCAAAATTTCACCTATTATTTTTTAAGGACGAAGACTTAGAACAGTTGCATCCTTTTCCTCACTTTGCACTGCCATTCCCATTTTTTACAGCTCTCCAGAACTTCATTAATCAGCATTAGAATGGTGCACTAAGGAACATTATCAAAACAGAGATGACTGAAGTAATTACTGTAATCCATTAACTCCCCGAGCAAGACTAACTGAGTGAATCACACCAATATGTTCAGCTCTACAACCACTAAGGTAAGGAGGGCTATTACACTGATAATAGCTATTATGTGCTGTGTAGCTGCCGATGCTGAACAAATTAGAGACAGACTCTCTCTGTAGTCCCTTCTGTTCTAATGCATCTTAGCAAAACAGCTCTCAAATCTATATAGAAATTAATTAATAGCATAAGATCAGGGACATGCAGGATTATTGAAGAGCATCACTAAAAACAAGGAGAAAAAGT